AGGAGGAGGAGGAAGAGGAGGTGGTGGAAGAGGGGGAGGTAGAAGAGGAGGAGGAGGAGGAGGAAGGGGAGGAGTAGTAGGATGAGAAGGAGGAGGACGAGAGGAGGAGGAGGAGGTGGTGGTGGAAGAGGGGGAGGTGGAAGAGGAGGAGGTGGAAGAGGAGGAGGAGGAGGAGGAGGAGGAGGAGGTGGTGGAAGACAAGATGGGAGGAAGAGGAGGAGGTGGAGGACAAGATGGGAGCAATAGTAAGAGGAGGAGGAGGAGGAGGAGGAGGTGGAAGACAAGATGGGAGGAAGAGGAGGTGGTGGAAGACAAGATGGGAGCAAGAGGAAGAGGAAGAGGAGGAGGAGGAGTAGGAGGAGATGGAGTAGGAGAGGAGGAGGAGCATGAGGGAAGACATAATGCGGAAAAGTGTGTAGAAGCAGCAGAAAGGGAAGATGCAGATGCAGATGCAAAAGCATTAATGAGGTTAAGAAGAAGAATTAGATATGAAACTCCATTTCATCAACATGTTGACATTGTTAAGAAGACCACTTCTTTTATCAATAAGCAAAACATATAAATATAGATACGTGTATTTTTCAGAATCGGCATACACTGATTTCTCATTTCATGCTGTGTTAACTAAAGCAAAAATGAAATATAAAGATACTAATTGGCATCACCTACAAATCAGTTGAACACTGACATAGTATCACACAAAATCTACTACATAAGTCAGAGGTGAAGAGCAGTTTTAAAGAAAGGGGATGTTGGTTAGATTTTATTATTAGTATACCTCTGAGTGTGGAATAGGGAGATCGCTGCTGTGAGTGAGAGGAAGACCGGGCTGAGGAGTATGAGGACGAGGCGGTGGAGTGGGCAGAAGAGGGAGAAAGACTTGCACGAAGGTCAGGGATGACCTTCATACTTCGCTGGTACCCACTCCAACCGCTGCATCCACCACCACCTGTACATACACCACAGGGCCCAGAATGTACCATCCCAATGCAGAGATACAAGCTTAGCAGTTAAAATGATGGCCATTAGACACACCAAAAGAATTAGCACTTTGTTACAAACATTACCATTTCTCGGTTACAGGCTATGGTGTAATCTTTATGGATACATCATCATCACTTTTGTGAAAATATTCTATCCCCAAAAGAAACCAAAAAACTGTATTTAGAAGGACATATACAATAATGCTCTAAAGTTTAATCCTTGTCCAAAAAAATAAATTAAGAAATATATAGCACCACCACCAGACATTAATCAGCAAGAAAGCACATAGCAGATAGATCATACGAGAAGATAAATCATGAAAATTTTTGTGCATGCAAAACCAGTGTAAAACCCATGTACTACAAATGTACATGTACAGTACTCAGAAAGCTAAAACTAGATTAAATCTCACAGCATTTGCCAACCCTTATCCTCCTCCTTGGCACAACTTCCCAGTTAGAGATATTTTGTGATAAGCAATTATCCAATAGCATAAGTAATGGTAGGAGTCTACAGGAGTTAGTAATCCTAAAAATCACAAAAAATATTATAACAATAATAATAATATGTTCCAAGAAGAGGGCTCCTAAATTCCGTTTCCAAACAATATCATCCCCACTGACAATTTTACAAACCTGGTGATGAGAGCTGTATAAATTTGGATGAAGTCTTTCTGGTGCCTGGCAATGACACACAAGAAACAGGCTCCAACTCAAGCAGGAAAAACAGCTCTGCTACAAAGGCCAACACATTCTGTTTCACAGAGCTGAAAGCATACCACATTTATAGTGAGAACAAAAATTATCACAACTGGTCTGCATTCTTATGCAAACAGATCTACTTTGATAATCAAAGCACATATGCAGCAAGATTGTTACTACTTCAATTAAACATCTTGCAAGCAACTTTAACTTTATCAAAAATCATGCAATTCCCACTGATTTCTAAAGTTTAATGTTTTGTACAATGAATATGTGCCCTACACATGATATAAATATAAAGTGACAATAACAAAGACTGCATCTTCAATATATCTAATTTGAGACTTTTGTTTACCTAAAGCTTACCTGTGCATATATACAATATCTTCTTTGGTTAGGAGACAAGGGTTATATGGAAGGCTTTCTTGGCAGAATCGAATTACCAGGCCTATATTGTACAGTGAGTCAGCAATAGAGGGTGGATCAGCCACAGCTATCTCCCCCCATGGGAGTTCCTGAGGGCAGTAGAAGGCTATAAGAGCAGCCAAGCCAATCCCATCACTCAGGTCACTTAGGTCTTGGATGCGTGGAAATACTGGCAACTCCTGGTCCTATAAAAGGATGGCAGCCATTGGGAAACTATCATTAGTTTTGCAGGTTACTGTGGCTTCCTGGTTTCCTTTACAGTAATCATTGGTAATATCTACTTACTATGTAAAATAATTGAAGGTGTAATCAAATGTTCACTAAATCATTCCAGTTATGGTTTGATCTATCCTGTTATTGGTATAATCCAACTCTACACTTCAAACAGTGACAATATTGTCAAAATATAATGCAGGTAAATAGGATGAAGCCATCTTTCAAAAGGTTAAACATACAAAACAAATACAATTAAATGTATTCAATATATGAAAACTTCCAAACCTTAAACAATCTTGACACAGCTCTAACATATTACCATGCTAAAGGACCTGATCAGTTAATGCTATGTTCTTTTTAGGCATTAATATTATAAACCCTATTTCTATACCTGGCATTTAATAGCAACAGAACTAAGCCAGATGTCCTATTTAACTCAACAATACAAGAAATTTTTCAGTTAAAGGCTACTGTCCTACATCCTACAACACACGTTAATTCTCATCCCAGCAACTGGGACATGAACGTATAACATGATGATTCCTCAATGTGATTTTTCACCATGACATATCACATTACCTGTTAAAAATGGGTTAAATAAAGCAAACACAACTGTGGGTGAAAGTACCAACCTGACTCTGAACTTGTTGATGAACACGTTCCTGTAGAGCTTGGGCTATATGATTGATCCACAGGACCAGAGCTTCCTCCTGGTCTTGGGGTGTGCGCTCTGGTTGCTCTCCTCCACTTACACGCTGTAACACTGACACTGCCCGTTCTGCCACCACCACTTCTCGAATATACAGGGCCATCATGGCTTCTATCACAGCTAAATGGGCAGACTGCAAGTAAAGATTCTTACTGTACTACTGACTATGACCGGCTATTGGGGAAATTTACAAATAAAATTTTCTTTTCATACCAACTGCCATGCAATACTAACCATTTTGATGGGTGAGACCTGGATAAGGACAGTTTCAGTAAGAGCAACATCTGTAGGCTCAGCGACATAAACCCCTTTTCTAGCCAGTGCTTGGATGATATTCCAGTGACTCAAGTTGTGGAAGTTTGGATCTCCATAGATGTTAGCCAATGCAGAGCAATATAGATCTGCATTGGCCAAACGGTGCACAATGCCCGGTTTAAGGTGTTCTGCTCCCTGACCAAAGAGAAAACAATAAAGTCAATACTGAACATACTTTACTTTATGCTTATACAATTACATCCACCCATATATTCTACATGATATTACATTTTAACTCAAAGAACTTTCAAAAGAAAGAAAGACAGAATAAGAATAAAAGAAAGAATAACGCAGCAAGAGAAAATTAAGAAAAACGGAAAGAGAATGAGAATGAGAACAAGACAGAGAGAGAGAGAGAGAGAGAGAGAG